GGCAACGAGGGGCCTGTCAATTCCCAATCTCGGACATACCTCCCACGTGGCTCGTTCGACGGGTCAGGTCACTCAGCAAGCCCAAATTTCCCGGCTTATGCAGGCGACTGGGGCAACCGTGACCCTATGCAGAATGGGCCATCACCAAACGGCTCCCTCTACAATGCACTCAGCCTTGCCTTTCCGCCCCTTCCTCTCTCACTGCAGCCGCAGTATGCACCGCTGTCGGAAGCACAAATGCTCGATCCGGCTCTCCTGTCCAAGGATCATATCCCATCCCTATATGCCGCTCCGCCTGTAGAAACGTTACATGCGCAACCGCTGTGGGACCCCGTCGCCCAGTCTTATAATGATTGTAATAATAACCCGAATCCTGATTATGCCGATCGTTTCGTGGACTTACCATTTAGTCCAGGGCATCGGATAAGCCGCTACGGGAACCCTTCCATGAACAGTGAAAACATCCCGTCCAACGGCGAAGCACCGGGCAATATGCGATGAATTTCAAGTCCACTCTACGTTTAGCTCGTCCTACTAGTGGCCAGGCACAAGAGATCAAATCCTAATTCCTGTGTTTGTAATGAAACTTTGAACAGAATTTGCCTTCCAGAGAGCTGACACGTCAGCTACAGAAAGTAGAGTCAATCAACACGAGATATCGTCTATGGCAACGATGGCACCAAACACAACTCAAGCAGCATGTTCCCCAGAAGCATGAAATAATAGTCTGCATAGACTAGACCATGGTTGGCCCATCTTCTGGGAGCAAACTCATAGTTATTGATCGTGGCACCGGTGAGGATTGTCTCTGCTGCTGGCTTCTTTCTCACAGTGCCATTTACCCCTCTGCCATTTATCTCATTCATCGGAACGGACATGTTCACAGCCAGAAACCCAGGTTCTGGCTTCTCCTCGTGGTCGCAGGGCAGCCCATCCTCGTATGTCTCGATGCCCCGATCGGAGGGCTGGACAGTGAATCTGAAGGTCGGAGGGTTCAGAAACTTGGTCAACGTCCCTTCTACAATGCGCATGACGACATGGAGATAACGCTCCGATTCGTCGTACATGCCCTGCGCCCTGAGTGCTTTGTAGATCAAGAGCATTCCACACGATGCGATCATCGCGGCGGACGTATCTCTAGGCGAGTCGCTCGTGACGGGTGCATCAAAGTCCCAGTACGGCACGCCATCTTCAGGCAGGTGCTCAATGAAGAAATCGGCGAGCTGTCGCGACGTCTGCAGGAACGACGGATCACCAGTCCAGTGGAATGTCTGCGCGAACCCGAGAATGCCCCATGACTGACCTCTGGCCCAGCAACTATCGTCGTCGTATCCCTGGTTCGTCACCTTCTCCTTGGGCGTGCGTGTCTCTTGGTCAAAGTTCACCACGTGGTATGTGGAGTGGTTGGCGCGAATATGGTGTTTTTGCGTTGTGCGGGCGTGTGCCACTGCGACGTCATACAGGTGCTGATTGCCAGTCTCTTTGGCGACCCAGAACAGCATATCGAGGTTGAGCATGTTGTCGATGATGACAAGGAAGTCCTTGGACGGATCCGTGTAAGAATACCGCTTCGTCACACAGGTGTCCCAGCTGCGGATAGACTGGATCTTGGGACAGAATCGACTAGCGAGAGTATTGGCTGCCGTCACCAGACTGCTAAACGCCCTCGCGTCTCGATGTAGCTCCCACGCTTTGATTGCCCAGGGTGCAATCATGAAGCCAAGATCATGTGTCGTGTTGAGGGTGGCGTTCTGGTGCAAGTTGACGGTCCACCACTGGCAAAGGTGTTGAAGAAGGAGGGGGTGAGGAGTTCGTGCTTCTGTGCTGTTGTTGAACTTGGTTTGGCGCTCGAGCAGCAGGTATAGGGATCCGGGAAAGAAGCCAGACGTCCAGAAGCTCCGGTGTCGGTAAACGTATGTGGCTCCATCTTTGCCTGTGTACTCGGGGAAGAAGGTGGGTGGTTCGTTCTAGACGGTGTTAGCATAGTATTTCTCGCATTGATGTATTTAAACACCTTTCCCAAAGCTCTGCTGGCCACATTCCACAGCTTTGCTGCCACTGATTCAGAGTAGAGTGCATGAATCACAGACTGTGGGACAACATTGGTCTTCGCGACTTTTCCATTCGTCTGGTCATTTGATTTGCTCTTGATTCTCTTTCGTGCAGGTTCCTTGATAGACCAGTCAGTACAATTGACCTGTTCCACCATTGGAAACTGGAACGGAGAGAACATACATCCATAGTGTCGGGCAACCTGGTCAGAGCCTCCATTGTCGCAGCCCGTATTCCTACTCGAAAGTGCAGGCTTCAAATATGAAAGTGATGCGGATAGGAAAATCCTCTGTTACTTCGGTAATGCCATCCTTATGACAAACCATGTAAGACTGGAACACGTAAACCAGAATGCAACATCAACCCAGGCGAATCACGCAGGACACGGAGAGCATGCCGACTTCTGCATTCAGTATCCGTCTTCTCATCAGATCAGTATGATGATTAGGGCTCTGCGGGCTATGTACCGGAGACTCTCCGCCAGCTTCATATTTGCGCGCTAAGGAGCGATCCCTCGATGGCGTCTTCCCCGCCTCCAACAAAGTTTGTGACTTTCCAGCAAGGCTCCGGAGAGAATAACGGAGCTTCCCCCGTTATACTCTATGCGAACCTTGGTACTGTTCCTGCCGACAAATGGTGTTGTTTTGCAAGGTCAGCGGACTCTACACCGGGGCCTCCACAACCCCAGTGCACGTACCATCCGTCTCTGCATCTTGATCGTACACCGGGTATATAGGATCTGTCGCTATATAGGATCTGTCGCGGATCGACACTGAATGATACACCTAGCTCACGATCTTATCCACTCAGATATACACATCCACTTATCCAAACATTGACCATGCCTGACATCGAAGGTAAAAGCTCCATGACCGAACAACAGGAGACGGTCGCTCCTGTGAAGCCCTTCCACCATGGAGAGCTGGACCAGGAAACAGCAGCGTACGCAAACGCAGCCGCCATTCATATCGACAAGGCGACCAACCGGCGGTTGTTTTGGATGATCAACCGCCGCGTACTGGTGTGCATGCTTGCGGTATGTCTACCCTCCCTGCTTGAGAAGCTTAGCTCTAATGACTACAGACGTACTTCTGCCAAGCACTCGACAAGGGCACACTCGGCTTCGCTTCGATTATGGGAATCCAGAAAGACGCGGGTCTCGTCGGCAACCAGTATAGTTGGCTGGGAACGATCCTGTACATTGGTGTGTTGGTAGGCGAGTACCCTACCAACTTTCTCTTGCAGAAGCTGCCGGTTGGCAAATACATTGCGACCAAGTACGTTCCTCTACCTGATCTGATGATTGACGAGAACTGACCGTGCATTCAGTGTGTTTCTTTGGGGTATTGTGATTGCTGTAAGTGAATTCGTCAACGTTCCGCGAGTTCGAGACTCACCGTGTGCAGTGTAGCGCTGCGGCGACGAACTTTCCTGGTTTGATGGTCGTGCGGTTTCTTCTTGGGTAGGAGATTGTCCGGGTCATTATATGCGTCCGCTAACAAGAGCAGTATCTTCGAGTCCTGTGTGCAGCCATGCTTCATCCTTATAACATCGATGTGGTACACGAGATCGGAACAGACAATTTTGACCAGTTTGTGGTATTGCAGTATGTTCTTATCAACTGATGGATCAGAAAGCTACTGACACACGATAGTGATGGGTGTCCAACTCATGGTTCGTTCCTATACTCCGGCGGAGGGATTCTCTGACAGTAATAGATTGGTGGTCTGCTCGCCTACGGTGTCGAACACTACAGAGGCCACTCCATGAAATCCTGGCAGCTTCTGTTTCTTGTGCTCGGAGTAGCCACCTGCGCCTGGGCTGTGTTCATGGGCTGGTATCTGCCCGATAGCCCGATGAAGGCCAAGTGCTGGAGCGAGGAGGACAAGCGATTGATGGTCGAGCGTGTCCGCGCCAATGAGACTGGTATTCAGAACAGAGTGTTCAAGAAGTACCAAGTGCTGGAGGTTCTCAGGGACCCTGCCGTCTGGCTTTATGCTCTGTTGCAGATGACCAGCTGCTTGATTATCGGCGGGCTAGGTGTCTTCTCCAACATCATCATCAAGAGCTTCGGCTTTACGACTTTGCAGACTCAGCTGCTCAACATCGCACAGGGTGGAGTCACTATAACTGTGATGGTCGGCGGTGCGTCCCTTGCCACCTGGACAAAGCAGACCATTCTCATCATGCATCTGTGGACCATGTAAGCTGTCCCTCTGGCAGTTCGAACAAATCTAACTGTGTAGACCCGCCATTATCGGAACAGCCATCATCTTCACCATCCCTCCCACACCGAAGACCCGCGCAGGTCTGCTCATCGCATTCTATTGCACGCAATTCATTCTCGCCGAGGGCAACCTCCTCTTCTCCCTCATCTCGAGAAACGTAGCGGGACAGACCAAGAAGTCTACAGTCCTGGCAGTGACCTTCATCGCGTGGTCCGCCAGCAATGCCGCCGCTCCTCAGGTCAGTTCAATCATACTCATGCAGATGACAAACACTGATATGCGGTTTATAACAGATCTTCCGGTCCAACGACGCCCCAAGATACCATAAAGGCCTAACCGCCCATTTCTGCTTGTACGCGCTCTTCAATATAATCCTCCTGACCCTACGGACAGTCCTTATGGCCCGTAACCGGAAGAAGAGAAGCGCTGCTGCAGCAGCTGGCCAGGTTTCATCGTCCGAGACTTCGGTGGACGAGAAGATTGAGCACTCGAATGCCTTTTTGGATTTGACGGACAAAGAGAATCCGGACTTTAGGGTAGGTTTCTGGAACTGGTACTCCATGAGTCGACGGAAGCTAATATTGTGTAGTATGTTTACTAGGATGGACTTAAGAGTAGCTGGTCAGGTGGCTATTCTATGTTACAGTCTCAAAACAATACAAGTTATACCGAATCCACTTTGGATGTCCATGGATCATCACCATATACAAGCTAAGATAATCAAGCATCGTACGGCTTCTGCTCGCCCGGCAAGTAACTCGCCCGACGACTCATATGCCTCTGCCGGTCTGCCTCCAGCGTCTGCGCAAACTTGCTTCTCTCCCGAATAATCGGGCCCTTCCAGTAGAAGATGTATAACGGGATGAGCACCAGAACGCCCGCGCATCCAAGCAGTGTACTCGCCCACTGCAGATGGAACTTTCCCCCGATATTCTCGTACATAGGGGTAGCATACATGGTCGCAATTCCCGCCAGGAAATCCCGCGCGAAGCCGTTCCCACCTGTCGCTGAGGCGGAGTAAGGTCCATACGCGGCGACCATGTAGTCGATTGTGGCCATATAGATGCCGTAGTTAGCCATGGCGATCAGGCAGGCGAAGATGCATGGTGCGATCCAAGGAGTATAGGCCGGTCCCATCGAGGTCCAGGCGAAGCCCAGCAGCCCGATTGGTTCCAGGGGTGCGATAAATAGGAGAAGGAGGAGGCGGCGCTCGGGGAGCCGGGCGCCAGGGCCGTGCATCTTGCGGATGTTGCGCTGACGCCAGATATCGGGCAAGAAGATCAGGTAGGCGATCACGTAGCCGATCAGAATCGAGCCAAAGGTCATGCCGACGGCGAGGGTGCTAAAGCTCCACTGTTCGAAAACAAGGCTGAACGACTCGGTGAAGATGAAAATGAGCGCGTCGGAGAAACCGGACAGTAGGGAAAGACAGAGCACGATCGGCTCACGCAGGAACATCTCAAAGGGCCGGCGCCAGACTCGCAGTACGTCCTTGGCGTCCAGCCGGGGCGTCTTGAGCTCGTTCGGGCCGTAGACCTCGTCGCCGGTCCTGCGGCGACGGCGTGCCTCGCGGTCGATGAGGATTGTGGCGCGCGTTTCCGGGACAAGGAAAAAATGCAGGGCCTGGGTGACTCCGCCGAAGATCAACTGCACCCAGAACACCCAGTTCCAGGACAGGTATTGGCCGATAAACCCACCAAAGAAGGGGCCGATGGTCGACCCCCCAACCGACGAGAGAACGACATACGCAACCGCATATCCTTGATCCTCGGCCTCCCACATATCGGCCGTCATGCCGAGCGTCACTGAGCCTCCGGCTGAGCTAAGTCCACCGAGCGCCCGACACACAACGATTGTCCCAAAGTTCGGTGCCACGGCGCAGGGTATCTGCCAGACGTTCACCAGAAACAGACTCAGCTGCATGATGGGCCAGCGACCAAATTCCTCGCTCCAGGGTGCCCACAGCTCACAGCCAAAGGCGTATGTCACCAAGAAGATCATCTGGCCGACACGGGCCGCCTGTGCACTAATGCCGAACTCCTGCTGAAGCCCTGGGACCGCATTGGCGTAGACGCCCGTGTTGAAGTTCATGGACATCTGCACGATGAAGATGACTGTGAGGATAGTCCATTTCTTGTACCAGGGAAAGCAGAAGCCGAGCTTGTCGTAGCAGTCATCCTCGGTGAGTTCGCGCTTGCTGCCGCGGTGAATTTCTTTCGAGGATTCATCGAAACTTGTGTCTGAGTTGGGCCGAGAGGCATGCTCGCGTTGTGACTGGTTTGGCTGGTCGGATTCTTCAAAATTTTTGGCAGCTCTCGCTAATTCATCGGCTTTTTCGTGGTCATTTGTGTGATCCAGCTGTTCTTCTGCCGGGGTGTTGGGTTCGGCGGACATGATAGTACAAGGATCCAAGTATCTGATCAGCAGTCCGGTTAAACATCAGCTTGAGGGCTGTGGTGTTTAAGAAATGCAATCATTTTCTCCTGGAGGTTGACCGGCCGCGTTTTAATATCAGTCTTCGAAACATATGATTGTGGGACTCCCTGAAAAGTGGAAATAGCCAATTAAGCTCTATTTCCTATATCACATTGTAGGACTGATCCTGGGGGTGGATACGTGGAGTGTCAATGGAGATGTTGATTGCATAATACGGAGACATGACATCAGGTATGCAGTCATAGTAAGGGGAGATCAGGATGGCATCGTTCATCCTCGGAATTCGGCTTTGAGATGTGTTCTGTTATGTATTACTGTAAGTTCTGTGAACGGCAGGATTATGAGTAGTATATGATCTCAGACTATCCAGGGGTCATATCTATAGCGATAATATACCTTGTCTGTGGGTCAGTGGTCCAAAGAGAACATAGTATTCACCTTGGCTGAGGTGGCCCATGGCATCATTATCAGACAGGAGGCTGTGCAGTTGAGTCAACACCTCGCCGCATGTACTCAGAAGAGGGGAAGTATGCATCCTTGTTGCTATAACGTCATGGACAGCTGATACCAGAGATTATTGGTGATCAGCAACACCTGGTGGAGATGCCGAGCATCAACTCGGATTATCCCCTTGTATCTGATATTTATTGGTACCTCGAGATAAGAAAATTAGGAATCTAAGAAAGAGCATGATTATTGCTCTTGTATTGGAAGGTTGGGCGAACTGAGCATCTTATAACTCTTATCCGCTCATGCAACTGGAGCAACATATTGACTCTACAACAACTAAGCCTTCATTAAGTCCTTCTCGTTGAAACAGATCATATCATTCTTGTAATCGTTCTTCTATCCCTCACTGATCCAATGGATATTTATCAGCCAACGAGCGCCTCGACGATTGACCACAATAAGTACTTGGAACTTACGTTCTTCGAATTATGTCAAGACTTATAGTAAATGGTCACGATATGTCAGTTTAAAAAGATCATAATTCGGAGAAGGTCGGTCAAGATGCCGTCCACGATTCGGAAGTGGCAGACTCTCGTACCTATTGGTGAGTGTGAGGGCATCACCTCACTGTTTCCCTTGGACTTTGCTTGTCAGCCTTCTTAATCAAAGCCGAATGGGCACGTTAGAACAGAAAGCATACCCCAAAGTCTCGAGCTGGGCTTGATACTAGATTTCCGGGCGTTACTCCGTACGAGGATGGGCCCATGTGAACCCTCCGCCTCATACGCTCCTAGCTGATGATCGACAGATCTCGTGCCACTTTAGACACCGTTGTGAAAGACGCGTCTTCACTGTCCTGCCATAGTAACGTGAACATTTCTTCATGTTCATGATCGTCTTCATAGTCTGGAAGACGGCCGAGCAATACTCCGTTAGCCCTTAGCATGCCTGTTAAGGATTATCACGCGCAATTCTCCGAACATTCAGAGGAGGGATCTACCGACATAAGGAGCCACGACTCACGGGATATCTCGAGTTTAAATTGGCAAGGGTGCGATACCCCACACTTTTAATCAGCGTACAACGGAGGGCAGCCCCAATCTGGAAACAATCTTCACGGAGACGCGCAGCCCCGCAATTTCTCCTGCCCCTGTTTCCCTCTTTTGGGAATAATTGACTACGACAAGCCAGATATGGTGTGTATCTCAAACAGAAGACCCGGTGTAAGAACCGGGATCGGCCCGTTGAGTATGAAGGTCGAACTAGGAGTATAGAGCTGGAAGTGAGGGTATGGCGGGCGTACTATATAAACTGTCAATAACGTACAGTTGAACAATCACTTTCGGATCAGTGGTCCTGAAACAGACGTGAAGATGAAGTTCACTATCTGGTCGAGCCTACTGGCACTGTCGGATGCCCTGGTACTCCCTGGCTCCCTCCAGCAACGTAGCAACTTCGCTCATCCAGGACTCCTTCACACAGCAGCCGATTTTTCTAGAATCACCAGCAAGGTCAACAGCAAGGCCGAACCATGGCTCACCGGATGGAACAAGCTGACCAGCAGCTCGTACCGGTCGCTGAGCTACACCCCCAGTCCGCAGGCGATCGTGTACCGCGGCGATGACGGGACTCACACGCAGAACTATGCGTCGCTGTATAGGGACATTGCAGCTGCCTATGTCACGGCCATCTACTGGAAAGTGACTGGTGACACGGCCTATGCGGACAAAGCAATCAGCATCCTCGACGCCTGGGCTTCCACGCTGACGGGCATATCTGGATCGTCGGACAAGTTCCTGGCTGCCGGGATTTACGGCTACGAGATAGCCAATGCTGCGGAGATTATGCGAACATACACAGGCTGGTCTGCGCAGAATGTCGCCAAGTTCCAGGACATGATGCTCAAGGTGTTCTACCCGCTCAACCACATCTTCCTGGAGCAGCACAACGGTGCCGCCATCGACCATTACTGGGCGAACTGGGACTTGTGCAATATCGCCTCCGTAATCTCCATCGGGGTGCTGACAGATAACCACACCATGTACGACGAGGGCGTTAACTACTTCAAGACCGGGGCCGGAAATGGACAGATAGAAAAGATGATCTGGAAGCTGTACCAGGTCGACGGACAGACTCTGGGACAGGGACAGGAAGCGGGCCGGGACCAGGGCCATGCGATGCTGGATTTCGCTCTGTTGGGAGTTATTGCCCAAACGGCTTATAACCAAGGCGATGACTTGTTTGGATATTTGGACAATCGCATTCTTGCCGGGTAAGTTTTCGTGATCAAGGTCATGCTCATGTCATACTAACCTGAACAGAGCCGAGTACGTCGCCAAGTACAATCTGGGCAATGATGTGCCCTATACGACCTACACCAACAGTGACGTTACTCAAACCGTCATCAGTAGCGCCAGCCGTGGAGACATCCGCCCCATGTGGGAACTCCTTTACAACCATTACGGAGTGCTGAAGCGGTTGGACGTCACGTACACCAAGCAATATCGCGACCTGGTGGTGAAAAATGGCTCCGGTGCCGAAGGGGGCGGAGGAAACTACGGACCGAACAGTGGAGGGTACGATCAGCTCGGATATGGAACTTTGATGTATACGTTGTAGGAGACTAAGCTATCCCTATTTGCGACAAATGTCAGTTAAACCTCCAACACTGGTGCCAAGCGCTTCCATAGATCACACCGATTGCGTTGGACGTCTGATATTGACTCCATTACGGTTGCATTTGTCTGTATTTTCAATCTTTCTCCAGCCTCCCAAGGCCTCCAGAACGGAGCACCATCAGCCCTAAGCAGATTCGGGTTCAACGCTCTTACGAAGCTGATATAGTAGTGCATAACAACCGGAATGACCGGGGCATTTATATCCCTCATGCTACTGCTGACACCACCTCCATAACTCAGCCCGAAGATGGCCTGGAGGTCAAACGTGTGCGAGACACCTAGACCGGCCGCGATCCTCGGTGGATCCTGGACATTATAGCGGTAGTTCCAGACCCTGTCAGACCCGTCTTTGAGAAATCTCGCCATACTGCCAGTGATATGAATCCCTGGACATACGATGGTCGCATCGCCAAAGGCAACTGAAGCCGAGGGAAAGTATGCTGCATGTTGCGGAACCGGGTCCGCCTTAGGGTATGCATCGTCAATCGCCTGCAGTTGCTTGGGACTCAGATGAGGATAGAAACTCCGTAAGAAGAGTGAGACTTCTGCCGGACTGCTGGCATTATAGGCAAATGAGGACCCTTCATCCGTATCGCTGGTCACCATCACCGGCACCCGAATGAACTTTCCCTGCTCGAAGAGCGCGTAAAGTCGATCTCGGACAAGGTCGCCGTCTATGACCGGCCAGAACTTACCCAGTCCAGCAGGATAGCTAATCTGGCCTTGACCTGGTGCGCTCAAGTTGGCTTTCTGGATGGCAGAGACATCCGCCGAGCGCAAGCACGCGAGAGTCGAGCATCCCACGGCCTGCAGTAAGCGGCCGTAGAGTACCTCAGATTCGGATATTGTTACTTGAGGAGCCCACCAGGGACTCTCCGGAATGGCGCCCACGAAGAGGCCGTCGTTCCGGCCGCCAAACGCTGTAAGATGGAAAGACACCGAGCCACCACCGGCTGATGCACCATGTATAACAACGTGATCCGGATCGCCGCCAAACTAACCTGTCAGCAACACGAGATCATGCAACCTGACATAAGGCATACCTGACGAATATGCTTCTTCACCCACTGTAATGCCTTTCGCTGATCCAGTAGGCCAACATTAAAATCACCATGTTCTTGGACTTCCTTGCCCGCTAGGAATCCAAGAGCTCCCACGCGATAGTTAAAGTTGACAAAAACGATATTGTTCCCGGATTCCTGGACAACCTGGGTCCCGTTGTAGTTTGCATTGGAATTAGTCGCATAAGCGCCTCCCTGGATGAACACCCACACGGGAAGCTTCGAATATATGGTGGCACTGGAAGGAGTGAACACATTGATAAAGAGGCAATCCTCGGCTCTTGTCGACGTGGCACTCTGGCCCGTTCCAACACATATGGGCCCGAACTGTAGAGAGTGAGCTCGGGCATTTGCGCTGATTATCTCATGTATTCACCTCCAATGCATCTTGCAGGATTGAATTTTGGGCAGGCTCCCTCGGGGCTCGAAAGCGCAGATTTCCTAGAGGTGGTGCAGCGTATCGCATGCCTAGGTACTGATCTATGCCTGCTGAAAGCCTGACTCCTTGATACCGTGAGTAGCCAAGGTCAACAACAGGTTGGGCTGAATGAGGAGCAGCATATCCTATGAAAGAGCTGGATAATATACATAGCAAAGTGGACAAGATCATATTGCAATGATTGAATTCGCTGATGGATAGGCCAAGCTTCACTCAAGGCCTTTCTACGAAGGATTAATACCCCAGACCTCCCCAGATACCCCGCCTCCTTCTTGGGTTGCTCGGTATATTTCGACCCGAAATATATGCAATAGCCCACAAGTTCTATTTAAGTAATCTACCCTAGCTTTGACTTCGGAGGAGCGGAAAGATTCTAACGAGAATGTCTTGAACACTATCTATATACAGTTGATCATGACGCAGTAAACGTCAGGTTATGGACATGCTCGTTGGCAAACATTGGCACAAAGTCAGCTGTGTAGTACCAACTCGGTTTCTTCATGCCATCGTAGATCTTCTTGCCGTTGATCACGAGATCCTCAAAGGTGACATTGGTGATGTTACGTTGTTCGTCGTACCCCAGGACCAGTGACGGATTAGCATTGGTCCCGTTGTATTGCAGTCCCTTGATATACACATTGCGAATTCCCCTTCCCGGTGACGTATTGTACTTGGAGTTATACATGATGCGCAGGTTGACCAGCTGGCCCTCGCGGAAGTTCTCGACGCGCATCCCATCTACCACCACGTTCTGGATGAGGTTGTCGTCCCCGGCGTTGATAGCCAGACATCCCTGGTACCACATCTGCGGCTCACGATGGTCGAGGACATCGATGTTCCTGATCGTGACGCCGTCCATCGTCTCCGGGTTGGGTGTATTACCGTGTGTTCCGATATTGATGGGATGGGCATAGTCGGCCCAGAGCACGGCATTCTGGATGGTGAGGTTGCTTGAGTCTCCCGACCAGTTGTTCCGGTGCTGGTAGAATGCAATATTGTCGTCCGAGTTGCGCATAAACACGCTGTCCACGAGCACGTTGCGGCTGCAGTAGCTATCCAATCCGTCGCCCCATGCGCCGATGGAGAAGGACCGAATCCCGCGCACCGTCACATCTGATGAGACTGCGATGCCGATGTTCGTATTGACGATGACTAAGTCGCGGACTGTAATGCGAGACGAATACTCGATTGTGATAGGTGCTTTGAGCAACAGTCCTCGGCCGCGGACGCCGGCGTCGGAGATATTGTGGAACCCTAGTGGAAGCGTGACGGTGGCTCCAGGAGCGAGATAGACAGTTTTACCGGGCGGGACGAGTAGTGATTTGTTCGTCCCGGCTGCTGTGCTATTGTTGATACCAGGGTGGAAGTAGATGACACCCGGATCAGATGGCTGAGGCACATCAGTCTCAATGGGATTGGTGAGAAGGTGGAGCACGTCCCATATATTATCGTTGACCTGGATAACCACGTTCTTTGGAGAATCAAGAGTGAAAGTGATGACGTCCCCGTGCACCTTTGGAACGATGTTATATGAATGCGGACGGACGACGGCTGAATGTATAGGGCCATTGTGGTAATTGACGGACACCTCGACGGGGCCACAAAAATCAAAATATGCGACGGAAGTGTTGTGCACGATACTGGCGCCGCTGGTGGTATTGGCCTCGCCTACTTGGACAAGAAACGGTTGCATAGTATACTCTTGCTTTGTATGAGCAGTTGAGCGTACTTGAACCGCGAACGAGTCATATTTAGTCACGCCGGGAGGAGTGGGATGGACGACAATCGGTGTTGTACTGTTACAGGACTCTCCAGCGACAGCATCGCAGGCTAGGAAAATCGCTGCAGTGGCTAACAAGATGTGCTTAAGCATGATGACCGTTGGGTACTTGTCTCTGCTTGGTTGCATTCATCATTCTGGTCCTGTGCTTATATTCTGAAGTTGTAGAATTGTAGTATTCAGCGTAGGGAAACCAGGCTTTGCCCGGGCCATTTGGCGGACGAACTGGTGAGTGTCACTAGTGATAGTGACGAGGAAATAATAGTTTACCCCCGCATCTTCCTTAACCCAAGGAGCCGGGGAATTTGCGGAGACTGTGGGGGATGATCATGCGGCATCAATCATATTGTGCACATTATCGGTGGATATGCCGGCGATTTCCCGAATCCATTCAATACATGCAAGAAGTTCAAGGAATTCAAGTAATGCTCAGTTTGTATCTACATCATCCTCACCACGTTGGATCCCTGCAGTCTTCTACTCAGACTAGACAGTACCCAAAAAAAGGCGGGGACAGCTTGAGTCAGTGGAGGAATCCTAGTTAGTCCTAACATAGAGCGTTAGAGGGGTGTCCGGCAGTATACACCTATTTGTGCAGCTCCCTCATCAGCTTGGCCAAATCCTCAAACGCCTTGCGTCTCTGGTCGATAATGGCATTGAAACTCTCAGCGGGGCCAATACTGCCTATCACGATCTGGTCTTGTCCCGCAACGAGACCTTTGAAAGCAAGATCAGTAAAGGTGCCCAGGGGCATGCCGAAATTGCGTCCACTCTCCTCGCCCATATAGTCGTGAATCTCGGCTATTACACCATTAGACAGTCTCCTCTTTCAAGGATGTAGGGATGGCGTACTCTGCACTGGTGGGGGAGAAATTTCAATCACCGCCACGTTGGAGTTCTGTAGCTGGTCACGCAGACACAAGGTGAACACATTCAATGCAGCCTTGGAGGCGGAATATGCCGGCAACGTTGCAGCTGGGACGATAGCCACATTTGATCCAGTACTATTCTGTCAGATCATCACGATTCGTGGAACTATGGACGATACTCACAAGATGATACTGGTGGGGCGTCCTTTTGCAACCAGAAAGGGTAGAAAGGCATGCGTCAACGCAACCAGGCTGAAGAAGTTGACGTTCATTTGCTGGTTGAATTTCACCAAATCGAAGTGACCCCGATCGTCAAGCTCAAATGGGAGTTGAATTCCTGCATTGAGGAAAAGGCAGTCCATGTCTGGGTAGGAGTCGATGATTCTGGTCTGTCAGCAGGGCCACAATGGCTGTACGCATTACTTACTCAGCTGCAAATTTGGGAATGTTCTCTATGTTGGAGATGTCGAAGGGAACTGCGCTGGCCATTTGCTCTCCATGTTTCTGAACGAATTCGTCCAGGCGGTCCTTGCGACGACCAATGGCTGTCACCTTGACGCCAGCTTGAATCAGTCGATCAGCCATGGCACGACCAATGCCAGCAGTGGCTCCGATGAGCAGAACATGCTTGTAAGGGAAAGCCATCTTTGATAGTTGTGGTAGGCTTAGACTTTGAATGCTTTAAGGGTGGACAAGACACGAATATATCTTTGTTGGTGACGACAAGCAAGACTGGACCGCAAAGGGAAATGCTTGCAAGAAGAGTACAACAGAAAGTCTGAGCACCATCACTGCTTCCTTTATATATGAGAAGATTTCTCTCTGTCTTCTTGTTCCCCTTCTCATCGTCTACTATCCACAGCTGATATGACAGGGAATGGTCCACTTGGCGTCGAAATGCCTACCCAAAATAGCTTAGCGTATTTTTATTCCCCCCCATTTCTACCAATTTCCCGTCCATTGTCTTTCTGCCATCGACTACAACAACACATCTATCTATCTATGATTAATCTTGATGGTATTTCGTGGTCGCCCGTCAAAGGCCTGCCAGCGCTGTCGGACTCGGCGGTTAAAGGTATGCTTTCCCGCACACGCAGCCCAGACAGTATGTAACGGAGAACAGTGTGACTACCGTCGGGACTCGTGCACGCCATGTCTTCGTGCAGCTGTGGTCTGCCATGGATATCGGGACCCACAGGAGATTCGTATTGAAGATCAGACCGAGGACGCGCGGCGCAAGGTTTTACTGAAGTCGAAACATGTCAGCGTGACAGAATCTTCGCTGCCAGTCTCCATCGACATCCAGGCCCGTATGGTCTTCTTCGCCCATTATGTGTCTGTAGGCTCCCGTGGATGGGACTTTCTAGTTCGATGGGAGCGTCAGACAGAGGTGGTACCTCGTTGGTTAGATGCGAGCATCGATGCAGTGAGCCTAGCTCTTCTGGCGCATCAGCATGTCTCGCTTCCTTTATTGTCCCTGGCTCGTCAGCGGTATGCTTTGGCTTTGCGCGTAATGAAACAAGCTTTGAGCTCTCCCCCGTCTGCGGGAGATAGCCTCATCGCGGCATCTCTACTGCTGGACCTATTCGAAAAGATCACCCACTCCGAAGCGAGCGTCATGCAATTCTGGCCGAGCCATGTCAACGGGACACTCGCTTTGATTCAGAAGATCGGAGTACAGAATTTTCAGGATCATTATGCCCTACGCATCATAGCGCGATTCTTAACCAACTATATCATCAGTTGTGTGGCCAGCGCGCATGCCGTCTCCAAAGATGTTCTTGTACTCCGTGACCATGTGGAGCGTCATTTGAACTTGAAAGGCGATCCCAAGTGGAAGTTGTCGGGACTGACGATGCAGTATGCTTCTTTCCTCAGTGCGGTTCGCACCGGCAGATGGTCACTTCAGGAGAGCATGGCTCGCGCACAGGAGCTTGACCAGGCCCTTTTAGCGCTCTCACAGAACATACGTCCAGACTGGCAGCCGGAAAGGCGGACTCTGCGGTACCCCTTGCCCCATGTGTATGGCCAGCAGATGGACTTGTATCGTGATCGCCATGTCACTCAGGCATGGAATGTCGCACGGCAGGTTCGCATCCAGCTAAACGAATACCTTCTGGACTGTTATGACAAGCTGAACGTAATCCACGGAGTTAACCTGCTCGCTGCGTCTGAAGCTGCATTGAGTAATATTGCAGCACTGTCGCTGGAGATATATGCCTCGGTTCCGCAATATGCAAGTTACGGCTGCCGATCAAAGCGCAGCCAAGGGGAAGCGGATGGGACCGACCTCTCCATTGTCCCCCAGAAGGGCTGCGACAAAGCGCATACACCGTCTGAGCTCCTCGACTGCTACACTCTTCTTTTGCCTATGTACGTTGCCGCTCGATCCAAGGCAGCCACGGTCGGTCAGAGACAGTGGGTCTCATACATGTTCCGTTATATCAGTGATCACTTTGGCATTCGTAATGCCTTACTAGTGGCACAGTTACTTGATCAGAATACCGATATTGACCCTTGGTGTATTTATGCCATGCTAGGGGGATACGGTTTCGCCGCTTGATCGCTTCAGGCCGCCTATTGGGTGGTATGTTTACGAGTCCTACAGCAGCCATGACCCATCATAATATGCTGGTCCATGCTGTGCACTCTATCGATAAACTCGATCTATGTCATTGTCAGCATGTCTCCACAAATCTCAAGGTTGTCTAAACTTATCCTGACTGATGATTGGCTGAAACGGTCAGGGTAAAGCCGACCACTACTTCTGATTGGACAATGCCTAATGACGTCGGTGGCATTCCACGCTCGGTGATGACATTAGATCCCGATTCAGGAATCCGCACACAACTGCCAGAAACGTGTCGATCATCCCCACCTTTATAAACATCCGTTTGGACTGACAGGTCCTGGTTGTTTACACTCATTCCAAATCACTGTCATCACAATGGCTGCCTCAACCCAAGAGACACAGCAACCTACAACTCCTACCCCTCAGAAGAAGAAACCAGCCAAGCTGCGCCCACGAAAGAATTCAGAAGACGAAACTCATGATGATAAACCAAGTGACGCTTCACCAGAAGCCAACAATACACCTGCAGAGGCCGATCAACCTCCCGACAGTGAATCAGTGAACTCGCCCGATCGTGGATCTCAACCTCAACCCGAACTCGAGCCAGAGCAACCTCAACGGCGCAATCGCCGCACGCGTCGACCCCGGCGTGACCCCGATGAACAATCCGAAACACTGTCAGAAACTGCTGAACAATTTGACACCTCGAATAACCGCGAACGACGACGTCGCCCTCGCCGACGTGATGAGCAGCGCATAGTGCCGTTCGGAGCTGACGGTGTAGGGAGGGAAGTAGGACGAAGGAGACAGGATGCCAGCGGTCCTCTAGATAATATCAGCAATTTCAATGGCATGATGATGGGACAAGATCAGCAAAATCAAGCTCAACCACAGAAGAAGAGAGAGTCCAAGGATACATTATCGTTACGGCTGGACTTGAACCTGGAGATCGAGGTGCAATTGAAGGCGAGGATTCACGGTGATTTGACACTGTCTTTACTGTAGGTTCTTTCTCCTGCTGCATTGGGTATGTGCTGACAGATTCTAGGAATTAGAGATGGCATCTACGGGAGTTAGGGGTTTGAGGTTTATGGATTCTCGTTTAGTTCACTGGAACAGATAATACCAATTTGATATGGGTATAAGACAATCTACATATTTTAGCATCATTAATCGTTCGTACCTCATTATCATCATTCGGAAAATGCAAAACTCAAATCCTGCCAGCCAATCTGAATGTCCTCACAGCAAGTTCACCCCAGAGCAAGAGATAGCAGTTACCACCCGCCGACTCAAGTATCCTTCTTCACTTCCAGTTTCTTCGGCTTTCTCGGTTTCTCACTCTTCTCATCCTTCCCCTTCCCCTTCTCCTCCTCCTTCTCACTCTCACCCTCCGGCTCATCCCCCTGTTCCTGACTATGCGCCAACCAGAACCGGGTAATCGTTCCCCCCAAGAAATGCTGATCGATAAACTTCACCATCCCATATAAAACCCACCCCCACCCCCAGAGCGACACCCCCATCATGCTCGCAACCAACAAGATTGGTCCTGCCAGGAGCAACGAGAGCACCAACCAGAGCAGCACCGCAACAGCCGCAAAGAGAAACACACCGGCTAGAAACACCAGCAGCGGAACCCCACAGCAGAAAAGCTGACAGATGATGAACGAGGACGCGATGGGTCGCTTCAGAATCGCTTCGTACATTTTGGCCCGGCGCGGGGGCGGAAGGATCCAGGCGATGAGACCCTTGATCCAGTTCTCGAAGCGGTCGAGGAGGTCGGGGAAGAAGGAGAAGACCCAGGTTTTGAAGGAGGACCAGATGGCCGAGAAGGAGATGTCTGGCGCGGGCCTGTCATCTTTTGCGTCGTCGGAGGGAAACTCGCCTGGCATGGTTTCGTCGGTAACATTCTTAGTGGTGTTGTTGAGCTGTCGCGTGGTCTGGTTGACTGTTCCTGAGGCGGCCTTGGTGGCGGTGTCGGTCGGTAGGCCTTTGTTTAGGCCGCTGCTTACTGTGTTGAGGGACATTTTGCAGGTGATTATGCATCTAGTGAAGTTTGAAGAATGTTGAAGTTCTGTTGGAACATATTATTCTTGTTGATGTGATCGTCACTTCTCCCCGATGACGTAGTGGGCGTGGGCACCACATCACCACATCACGTCAAACCCAATCTACCCAACATGGAAGGGACATCATATTAAAGCCGAATCGGCCGAGGCTTCTCAGGACTAGTCAACGGAATCAACCCAGGATCCCCCTTCGCCATGGCAGTCCGATATACCTCCCTCTGGTTGACCCTCTGTAAATAACCCAGGATGCCCTCATACCCCGCCAAACTATATGGGAAGAACAACCGCGCCGTGGTCAAGGTAAACACATTCATCACATCCGCCGCAGTGAACTCCTCGCCCGCAAGCCAGGTATTCTTGGTCAGTTGATCATCCAGGATCCTCAACGCCTGCTCGAAATTGCGCCGGGCGAATCTCGCACTGGGATCGTCGCGGGAGATCCCCGATCGGAGGACCGTGGAGTACCCCACCAGCGCGGGCTGGAAGTATCCGTTCGCAAAGTGCAAGAAGTAGAGATAATCCGCGTAGTTGTCTGCCGTGGGAGCAATGGTCAATTTCCCATTCCCGTATTTGGTCAGGATGTACTCGACGATCGCGCCGGATTCTGCGAGGGTGGTGTTGCCGTCTTGGATAACGGGGGCGGCCTGGGTGCGATGTCTGGACAAATATCAGCTCATGTCGCTACAATTCTTCGGTATATCCGTGACCACGTACAACTGCTGCAATTCTGGAGGGGCTAAGAGGGTTTTTGCATCTCGCTGGTAGGTTTTGAGCTCGTAGGGAATGCCCAGTTCCTCACAGAGCCAGACAATGCGCTCGGATTGAGATCGTTGGAGGTGATGTACAATAAGCATATTGTAAACTTTAAGAAATTATTGAAGAAAAGATGAATTGAAATTGAATTAGGATTAATCGGGGCGAACTTTATATACTTTTAGGACGGATTTCTAATCTACGTCTAGCCAGATCTGAAGCTACAAAATACCTCGGGACAAGTGACCCGCCACCCGTCCTGTCGGCAGGCTAGAGATAAATTAGATTGCCAATGCCATTGCAATTTAACATAACTGAAGTCATGCAGATTCAACTCATCTGCTAGACTAGGCTACACGCTAATAAACAAACGAATACTAACAAAGCCATCGTAGCGACCACCCATGCCAGTGGTTCTTGCAACCCTTCCATGTGCCACTAAAATAGTGCTTCACCAGCACATCGGGTAACGTGTGATCTTCCCCCTGCGTGACGGCAAATGATCTTTTGGGAAGGATCATCACGTCCCGAATTCTCACGGGGTCCTTCAAGTTCCTCAGATGTTGTATTTGCTCCTCCGAGCAGGCCAAGTAGTCGAGGATAGTATCGGTCCATACACTCGGCCCTGTCCAGTCCATAACGTTGACCTCAGCATCACCCTCCAAAGCGTGCACCTGTTTTATAAAGCTTGGCGTCCTCTCCGCGATGCGAGTAAGTAGATCCCGGAACATGGGGTGCAGCGGAGTCGACGCCATAGTCCACTGGACGAATTGTGGCGAGCGAGGGAGACCTTTTGTGGTCGCGTCTCCTTCCAGCCCAATAATCACATTCGGGGGACTATGATACTGGTCCTCAGAACCCATAGCAGTCCATGGCAGCGGCTGGATGAGGTGGACATCGAGGTCGCTGTACACTCCTCCTCGGCCGAACAGGACCAGGTAGCGACAAAAGTCCGACTTGAGCACCGCATAGGGGAGTTTCTCAAATGCGGCTGCAAAGGTCCCTGACGCATCCACCTCGCGTGCCAGCTCGAGACAGGCCTCGTCACTCCAGTACTCGACCTTCCAGCCGGACTGCTGCCACGAAATCACGTGATCACTGGGTTCAAAGTGCGAGATGGGATGGTCAGGCATCGACAGGAGGAGCTGGTGGACAGTCTGGGGAATGGCGATCTCCGTCACCGGGTATGCCTCGGTGACGGCAGACAAGTGAGAGTGGTGATCATAGTAGCGATAGAGCAGCCATAGGATGCTGAAAAAGACGATTGCCTGGATGGCAACGAGAGGCCGCATCGGTGTCGCTATCAACGGAGCCCAGTTTTCGTTCAGATCCAGACAGTCGTGAGCAAGTAATTATATCCCACCGGAGCGTTCGATTTCAGCTGACCGGGCGGGCTACGGGAGCGGAGATTGTGGTGCCGAAATGCCTATCTAGTCTCCCTGAAGCTCGAACGCATGATGATCCGGTGTTCCCGTACTGGCTGATCGTCGGTGGGCCTGTCTCTCGGATACAATCTCCTGCAGTGAAATATCCCTTGTTGTTGATCCGAGTTTCTCTTCGTCCACAGTGTTGTGGCGAGAATGGTCAGTGACTTGAAAAGAGAATTCTCTCATTTTTCTGCACTCTGCAATCTACGGAGAAGGAGGGGAAATGGAAGAGTGCCTGAAACTAGCAGCTTGGCGTGACTCTAGCTTCGGATGTTGTGGCCGTTTGCGATAGTAATTTTACCGATTGGGCTGTGTTGTGTTGTTTGGGCGTTGTGGCGCTAGGCCCTATCCGGAGTAGCTTGGGTGCGTTTTGCTCAGAAAGGAAGGATCCCAAAATAGATCGACCCTCAGGCCAATCACCACTTTTCATCCCAATATAATCTATCAATTGTCTCACCCTCTCCTCTGCATCTCAAAGTTTCATCTGCTAACTAACACAAGCATCATCCAATGCGCGATATTTGTCAGGATATACGTAGTTGCGACCGCAAATTCCCACACTATATGGAATGCCATGGCTGCTGCCTGGTTCAGGGCTCAGCGAATCCTTGATATTATGCTACAGACGCTGCTATCTATGCGATACAATGGAACCGAAATAGTAGGATTAAACAGCCGCTTGGGTTGGACATTGATCGCCTGGGATCTTTTGAATACTCTCATATTCTCATATTCAAGTTGAGCTCATTTTACCACCAGTGCTCTAGAATCTTTTTCCAGAGGGTCGATCCCGCGGCTGAACAAGTCCGACATCGCAGGAGTACATCTCTTTCTGTCGCGTCAGATTATGACATATCTCTCACCCATCCGGGTTCTGAACATGACAAGAAAGTCATTCTAGCGGCTTGATGAACCCGAGATTTAGCTGATGACATGCTTCCAGATTTGCATATCTCAATGTGGTTGATTTATGAAGATCGCATTTACTGCCACATTTTGACCATCAGGCCCCCCGCAGCTGACAGACTCCAGCAAATCATTGCGCGTTCGAGGGCTTGTTTAACCAAGCTGTGAGAATCATACACTTTTCTTACTGTGCGAGGTAGACGAGATTGGATATGTTTAGGGTATGATCATGTCTGTCGCTCGACATGCGTCAGATGAAGCCAATAGAGCAGAGACACTGAGCATACGGAGGCTGAACCTCACATACTTTAATCCAAATATAGAATTGTTCTTTTGCTGAGCTGGTGTGAGGCGGACGAGATTTTAATATATAATAGACGCTGCGTCTACTTGTATCCTGAACCTGGACAACAACCAGCATCCTCTTCAAGCCACATCATATACAAAAGCGTCAATATGAAGGCCCATTCCCTTGCAACTCTTCTCCTCTCCCTCTCTGGCTCCTTCGCAGCAGCCTGGAACGTCACCGCATACAGCAACACCGACTGCACCGGCTACCTGACCTCCATCGCGGGCGAACAGAACTGGGGCTGCTACTGGCTCACCGGTGTCACTGAGCCTATTCAGGCGATGAGCGTCGAGGATCTTCCCGATGGGTGGAGGTTCATTGCGTCAAGTGGCACTGCCTGCGATACCTTTCACCAGGCCGGTGGAAACGGATGTTACACCCAGGGCCAGGGATTTCGGTCGTTTGAGATTATTGGGTCGAGCAGCTGAGTACGTTGAACCATGTGGATTACGGAACGATACTAATATGACACTTAGTTGAGAGGCCAATGATTGCATAGTACACTGTTCGTCTTGAGATTAGCATTTCAGTGTCTTCTTTAAGTGTTACTAGGAAGGTCTCGGTGTTGGTTGAACAATTTTTAATTTGAAGGTCGACTCTAATGCAATGAAAACGTCGAGTTGTTCTTCGAAATGTTAATAGAATAGAATTGAACGTTAAACTTACCGATACTGAATGACTGTCGATCGAATACCTCATTGCTACCGTAAAGCGCAGGGTTGATCGTGAAGATAGATGGTGAGAGTCAGCACATTGTCCCTCAAAGATGATGAAAGCAGATGCATAGGGACACACACCAAAACACCTTATATGGGCTCCATCAGGTAGATCTGGCAACCCAAAGCCCCGAGCCAAGTTCGTCCACAACAGACTCGCACGATACGCCAACGGACTGGGCCACGTCCGCCGCTTCAGCCAGGAAATCCTCATTTGGCCGTCGAGGGTTCGTGGCCCAGACTCGAAGTGTAACGCGTTCCAAGCTAGGAATCCGTTTCTTCGTCACAACAACACGCTGGTCGACCGCAAAGACCATCCCGTACGGATCCCAAGCGTAGTTGTCAAATCCAGATAGATCGTTTCGCATTACCAAGTGCCGTACCTTTGGGGGCAGGTACTTGTGGAAATCCGCCCAGTTCTCGTTCGAGAACCATCCCAGTAGAATCGGCATTGGGACTTCGAGCTCGTGGAGCTTTGTGAACTCGGCGAACAGCATCAAGAAAGGATCCGTCAGCGTGCTGCCAAAGCTATTGTCCTGGTCCCAGCTGAACCCGCCAACGAAGCTTGGGTCGGTTTCGAGACCTATTGAGAGCGTCTCTAGGCGATCTTTCAATGGCGTTAACGCTTCAGTCAATTCCTTACTGTCAAAGAGGACTAACTGCGAGACCAGGTTGTAGGAGACTCCCAGGTGCAACCGCCGGAGACTGGGACAGACTCCTAGAATTTTCTTGATATCGGCAGCATGTACGCTTGATCTGGCCAAAACCAGGCTTTCGAGCTCGCCGGACTCCAGACGATCCTTGTACTCATCGAACCCAAAAGCACTTCTGAGCCACATCTCCACGTGTTTCAGCTTAGGCAGGGCGAACCAGGGAGCAAATTGATACTTGTTCCCGAGCAAGGGAATAACTGCTACCGCTTCCTCCGCCTCGTCATCGAGTTTTTCAGCCTGGGGAACGTCGCCTCCATATTTGAGAGTTTCCAGCCTGTTGAATCTGGAGATGCCTTGGAACGAGGAGCGTAGAGCGTGTTGGAGGAACAGGCCGGGGAAGCCCCCGATCAGAGTGAACGTATAGTCCAACTCCAAACTTCGCAGGTTATGCAGCTGGAAGATCAGAACGGTTGCATACGCGTAGTAATTACCTTGTCGGAGCAACGCCGCGTAACCTTCCATGTCGAAAAGGCCGATCTGCCTCACGAACTCGATTGCCTTTTCCGTAACAAAGGCAAATCTCGTGGCCTGCTGTTGAAAGTCAATATCTGGATTTGGAAGGACCCAGGCCGGTCCGGTGTAAGCGAGCTGGAGATGCTTGACATACCCTGCAATCTGCGGATTAAGGAAGATTTGCTCCAGGAGCAGCAGTACTCGTCGGAGAGGCGTGGCCGTGTATGTCCAGAGAATGTCCCGGAAGACGAGGGGTTTTGCCCATTTCCGAAGATCTCTGGAGACATTGGAGACGGCCAGGTTGTCGGTAGTGTCAAGGTTGTCAAGGACATTCACGAGACATTCTGGGGGAAGCATGCTAAGCGGGCTGAAGTTGTCAGCTGCATTCTCGGAGTTGTTAGCAGAAGATACTGACCCGGCCTGCGGATCCATTTTGGATATCTGGATGACCTTGGAATGTTGCTGAAGGTAAAGTTGATATTGAAAGATGATAGTGATTGCTTTGAAGGATGTTGGTAAGGGGATGGTAAGTGTTGACGAAGTGAGAGTAATACTGTTTGGAGAGAAACACGGACATTTTTATAAACTGTCGACCAGTCCATTGTCGTAGAATGGTTTTGAGGGTCTAAGATGGGCTTATTTTCACTGCGACATTATCATTGTCCATGAGACATGAACCTTTGTCTTTCAAACACCCGACCCGCGTTGTCTTCGGCCCCCATGGAGAGCTCTACCACGGGACTGGGGTACGTTCAAGACATCTCTCTTTCTTTCACCCAAGACAAGTAAAAGGGGCCATAGAGGAATAAAGGCCACTGGAAAGTCCTACATGAAGTCAATGCCATTGTACAAGGTTGGAAACTTCGTGTCTGGTTCCCCGTCGACGGAGATCCCCAGCTTATACAGAGGTCTACTAGCTGTGCCGCCGCGAAGAGTCTCTGCCGCTGTAATATTGGTCTCAGTTAATGGTTAGGATATCAGTGAATGAGAAAGTCCCTAATTGGAATCAGAAACAGCGCCGTCCTGTGAGAATACTGTCAAATCTTCCTATTTCGACCACAGTCATCATTCATCCATCAAATCAATCTTGACAGCAATTTAATACAGCCTCTACCATTACCAAAACTCGGACATCAAGGATCCATAACCAGGTTGATGTAACATGGTGGTGTCATAAATGAGCGACAAGAGAGGAATGCATTCAATACCCGATTCGTTCCATGACTGCCCGCCAAAGATAACTGCTGTCACACAGCCTAACGCATCATAAGATACTGTCCAATAATCTCCCTCAGTGGGCTCCACGATTGGAAGCTCTGCAGGTATAATGGACAGTGTGACGATCACGAGGCGCTGTTCTCAGCCTTGCGCTGGTCTTACTGCCCGGCCAGACACCCCTGTCCGGTCGACGTTCAGACCAAGTACATAAATAGGCCAAGCAATGTCCTTTGGGATGTTGAACTAAATTATACCGCGACTGCCAAGCTTTATCTTCCCGTTCTTCCACATACCACTACTGAACGCACTTCGCAACATGCCTCCAACACAGGACCAAAGTACGCCCCCAAACAGCAGCGTTGAACAGGGCAAATGTATACGGCGCAAGGAGGACTATCCCCCCGACCAGCTAGAACTGAGCCAAATCATAGAGAACATGCGCCACGCCTATGACCCCATGGGAATCACCTCGCTGGACGCAGATGGTGTCCTCCGCTACCTAACAGCAGACCGAGACGTAATCGACGCCGTTGGTCTTCGTCCAGGCCTGATCAAAGCCTTTCTTGATCGTATGCCGTTCTTCCAAGAGGCCGAGGACATATTTCGCGGAGTTGATGGGACTCTTGTTCCACGGGAGCAGTGGTTCAACCCGGACAAAGGTCTGTTGCCGCCGCCACTGCCGGAGGAAGAGAGGGAAAAAGTGAGGAAGATCATGGTGGAGCGTGGGGAGGATTCTCTAAAGAGGCTCAACGATCCGAATCGGCAAAGATGTCCTCTAGTTTTGCGATCTAACTATAACCTGGACCCAAAAGAGGAGGACTCAGTGATCAGGCCTTAGTTATTCATTGCAGGATTCACAGATCTATTTATCTAAGGCAGTCTTCATTACAGCCTAGTTATTCTCAAACAATGCAGATATTTCCTCTTTGTAAAGTTCCAGACTCGGCATCCGTGCCACACTACCCTTGACCGTCCGCGTGAAGGGCTTGTCTCCACTGGCGAAAATCAAACGCTCAGGACTCAGCTTCACGCAGTCATGGCAGTCCTCGTTGACTCTGTCAATATACGGCTGTAAGCTTTTGACCATTGCCTTATGACCGGCGTCAGCTGCCACCTCAGTCTCATCATGCAATTCCACCAGAAGCACCGGCAGTGGCCGTCCATGACCCCCAATCAGCGCCGCTTTCACCTTCGGATGCTGCTCTATCTCCGGCTCCAGCGATGCAGCATATAGCCCATCCCCATGGCTGAGAGGAAGATAGTCGTCCATGCGCCCGACAATCTTCCACAGCCCTTTACGCGTGGGATGTTCAACCCACAGATCCTTCGTCTCGAATCGGTCGAGGTCCGGATAAAGAAGGAAGATCTGCTGCATTTTACATTCGGGCGCACGAACAAAAACAAGCTCGTGCAGGTCCCCGGAACGGGGCTCGAAGACCGCTCCTGTGTGTTTCTGGAATTCGATGTAATCCCAGTCCTTGTCGTCGCGACGGAACTTGGTGAAGTAGCCGCCCACTTCGGTGCTTCCGATGGCGGGAACGAGCTGGACGTAGGGAGCGAGAAGGTCGCCGGATTTTCGCGAGAGAGGAGCTCCAGCATAACTGACCATCCTGAGGTTCCTCAGTGCAGAAAGGGCTCGGTCGTTTAGGCACATTTCATCGATGAGAGCTGGGGTCAGTAGGGCGCTGTCGACACGTCCGTGTTTGAAGATATCGACGACGGTATCGGCGGAAGGAGGCGAAGGTGGGCCGATGACCAGGGTTCCGTGAGCATATGTGGTTATGGAGAGAACCATCATCATTCCTACCAACTTTGGATGGTCAGTGAGAGGAGCAAGTTGTACCAGAGATCGCTACATACGTGCAAAGACGGTAGTGGTGTGTACCAACGTCTCCCAGGAGCGTGGTGCAGCAAGAATTCATCAATGTCCGGCAAAGACGCGGCCACGTCAAAGGCAGCCATCATCTGGTGAGTGTAGGTAATGGGTTTGGGATATCCTATCTGTGTCAGTCCATGAAGGCTCTCTGGAGTACTTCGGTATCAACTAACCTGTCGTGCCAGAGGTATGAGCCACCAGCCAGGGGTCATTCTTTCCTTCTTCCCAGGACTTGGGGTATACATAAGGCTCAGCTTGAGAGTCTTGCAGTAGGCTGTCAAGTTCAGGAGCTGTAATTTGTTGGACATTGGGTGCATCCTTCAAAACGGTACCAACCACCTCCGCCATACTTGACGGTCTGACATAAACCTGACATTGTGTCTTGTTCAGAATCAAACGCTGCGCTACAGGCGGAATCAGTGGCGATGGGAGCACCATCTGTCTATCAGTCA